TAAAATGTATGGTTAGTTGCGGTTACGCTTTTTAAGAGGATTAAGTGATTTGCAATTATGAAAGAGGCAAACGGCTAAATGTATATGAAGATATAGATAGTCGTATCAACAAGTTTACAGTTTATTTTTCAAGTTATTCGTGTATGGAGACACTATAACAGAGTTAGGTCTTATTCGAGCGATCTGTGTATGAAGACACGATTACTCTTCAGGGAATTGTGTGATTTATTCAATAAAGTATTCGAGTTATTCGTGTATGAAGACACGATTTACTTTTTATTTATTGTCAAGTCGTTGGAACTTCGTGTTCTGTCTTTTACAAGAGAAATATCTCAGTCTATTTATACCTTTTGAACTATCGATCTCTGCTACTATTTTTATAAATTACAAATTTGCTTGAACCACTAAATCTAAAGAGACCTTTAGCACTGCTAGCGCTATTCAGCGCTACTATCGCTACTTAGCGCTACTATCGCTATTACAGTGTTCTTTGCATTGGTGTTACATTTTGGTTATTTTGGCCGTTCTCAAGCGTCTACCTCAATGAGTTAACCGAACGATTTGATTGGCCGAAAAAATTGATCGTGGTCACCACCAATTTTTTTCATAGAGCTGCGCTGATTGGATAAAATTTATCATTGACAGAGTAATCAAAGAGATTGCTCAAGCTCAAATACATTATCATTTTATTGTTATTTCTTTTTTTCGTAACATGGATCTCAACAAGACGTCATCGCTACCAAAAATTATTCTACTCTTATGACAAATAAAAGACGTTTAATATTCAAAGAATAAAAAATTATTTTTTTATACGTCGTATATATTTATTAAAATAACGTTCTTGCTTCATTATGTTTTGATATCACTTCGTTTAACATCAATGAATCTATATAAAGTTGCGTTGTCAAATATGGTTGTTGCTGTAATAACTTGCTGCCAAATATAGCAGCTGTTGCAATGATAAGTTATTTGTGAAATTGTTAAGAAGGCAAATTTCCAAACACCAAAATCTTGGGTGCTAAATTTTTAGGTAACTGAGTAATCGCCTTTTTGGAGCCATAATGGAAATCGGAGAAAGAGATAGCTCAAGCACTGATCGCAATCTTTATTTCAATTGATCGTAGCGTTTGAGCGTCGCCTCGATCACTAGCTAATTACATTGAGGGAGACGCTTGAGAACGGCCTTAATCTCATTGATCAACTTTATTACATGATTACTGAATATTATCCAGCACGCACTATATTATTGCCGTAGTTTATTATTGAAATCATGTGATGCGTAAAAATTTTATTTTTTTAAAATTCTCAATTAAAATTTATTTTATTAAAATTAAATTACATAAAAAATTACATATTGCAAATTTAATTAAAAATGATAGTGTAATTGCTTCTTGTTATCAGATTCGGATGATTCATGAAATTATGAAAAGTGTGTATAAAAAATGGTGCCGCCTGATTAGTAATAGATTTTAAAGGTTGTTGTTGGCATGATAACGTGATCTAAATGTTGTTTCTTGCTAAAATTAGTACTTGTTAGAGTTGGGTAGATGTTGAATCTACGAATAATAGTGTAATTAAAATATATTGTGATAATAAGTTAGTAATTAGAATAATATATACTCTAATTTCCATAATATTGTTCTAGCTATAGATGCAGACATTTGAAGATGTATGGTTATGTCCATTTGATGTGTCATCACGTCAAAAGTGTTGTAATGACGTAGGTCATAACAACTGACATTTGCCATAACTAATTATGGAAATACAACAGGTTACGGCAATACGGCAATATAATGGATTATCATCACGAACTTTGAAGGTCCATAAACTTACGTTAATTTATGTAAAGAATATTAATACTATGTAAAATCTTACTATAAATTTACATAGTTATAAATATACATAAAAAAAAGTAATATATTATATAACTTTTGATTATAAATTTATATAGTTATAAATTTATGTAGCAAATTATATTTTTTTATTATAAATTTATATAATATTTGCTATCTAAGAATACATAATTTCTTACGCAAATGTTTTTATAAATTTATATAGTTATTGACATAGTAACTATTGGTATGTCCAAAGTGAGGTATAATATGTACTTCATGTAATAAATTTAGCGGAATTATATTAAATTCTGCTAGTAATTTAATATAAGGATTATCATATTTGTAATGTTGTCTAGAATCCTGATACTTGAAATTATACCATTGTATTAACACTAAAGAATATGCTGTATTTTTATAATTCATTCGTAATAGTAATAGTACCTATAAAAGAAAATTTTAATTTATAAATTAATTTACAAATAAAAAAAATATATAGTGATTAGGAAGTACTTACCTTTCCAAAGTATAATTTTTTTTTTTATTATGATTAATTGATTCTATATTATTCATTTCAATAGCGACGTTAGCATTGTGCGATCTTTGATAAAAAATTTTTGTAGCATAAATTCTTTGTCCATTAGGTTTAACCGATTTATATAATTCAATCCAAATTGGTAATTTATTCAGATTATCTTCAGTTTTATCAATAATTTTAAAACATGTATTTAAACAATTTTTTAAATTAGCCATTCCTAATAATGTAAATTCATGTTCATCAGAATTTAATCAATGTATTAAATTGTTCATTGTTATTTTGTGTTTGATTATATAAAGCATTGCTTAATGATGCTAATATCATTTGTTGTTTTATCTATAAAGTATAGTTAGTTAATTATTAAAATAGTATTAATGAAATAAATTACAAATCTTTATTTTATTTAATTACTTACAGTTCCTATTATTTGCATATTTATATCACGTTTATTACTAGATCAGTAAGGTTTTTTAATATAATCTTTGTGTAGATTTTCATATGTTTCAGAGGTCTATCCATTTATATTTCCAAATTCTTTAATTGTTTCTGTTATATAATATAGCCAAGAATGAAGTTTTATATGTTTAAAACCCGAAGGTGAAAATCTTTGAAGTAAATTTATAAAATCCTGTGCCCAATTAAATCGTGCAATCTATTATATTTTATAAAATTATATGTATTAAATTAATATTTATTATTAATATAATATAAAATTATTATTAAATTATTTAACAAATACCTCAAATTCTTTTAAATCACTTTCATTTAAACTTGTATTGTAACTCATTTTATACATAATACTCTATTTGATAAATAACATCGTTAATGCTTTATCTATTTGCTTATCAAATAAATATAAAATACCATCAATTATAAAAGGTATAACTTTCATAATAACTTGATATTCTCCTGCCATAAAATGTTTGATATTTTGTAGTCCAAATTTAAAAATTTTAAGTCCATGAATAGGTGGAATATTTCCAAATTGATAATCCATTTTATTTATTGCATCATTTCCACCTAATTCTTTTAAAAGCATTTGACTATATTTAATTTAATAATAAAAAAGCCAAATATTTAAATGATGTAGTCGATCTGGTACAGTAGCCATATAAATATTAATGTCAGATAATTTTTAAAAGCTATTTTGTAAATTAATAAGTGAATAAAGATTGTTTGTTTTTGTCACTATAGCTTCTTTCATATTTTCATGTGTACGATAAATAATTTGATTACTAGTTAAATTAATATTTGCAAGTTCTTTATTATTAATTAAATATTTGTAACAAGGATAAGTTGCATTAGCTGATTTGGATATCAAACAGTAATTTGCAGCTTCAAGTAAATCTGATATAATCATCGCAATACGAATATGTATCCAAGTAAGTTGTTTATTGATATTTAGCAAAAAACCTGTTGATGATTTTTATATATAGGTTTTAAGACAATATCTATACAATTTTGAAAAACTCTTTGTAATTCTAATCGATATTTATCTAATTTTTTTTGATTTTCATTAAGTGATTTAATAATTGAAATAATCTAACTATAGATTTTGCATCTTGTTTATTACGTCGTTGAGATAGAATATTTTCAAGAGTAATAAATAAAGGATGACATAATGTTTTTCCTAATATATCGCAAGTAGTTCCATCTGAATATAAAATTATAAATAAAAGTTTTGAAGTAGATGGAAGTTGTTGTTCAGTTCGTTTCCACTAATAAGCATTATACATTTCAGCATAATATCGAACTCTTTGATTATTACTATCTATTTCTAAATGTTTTTTGTAATTAAATTCACATTGTTGCATTAAATCATCATTTTGTATTAGCTCTTGAATTGCAAGAAGAATTGATCTATTTTCAAAGTAATAATTTGTATTATTATATGATGAAACTAGATCTTTCTTAAATTGTAAAGTAGGTGTATTAATTGATCTAAGATAATGTCATCCTACACTAGTTGATTTTGGTAAAGAATTTTGACTCCAGGATGAATATTTTTTAAACACTTTAAGAAAAGCATCTCCTGCCTTATTGCTAATATTATATTTATTTACTACATTCATAAAATCTACAAATGCATTATTAGACAATTTTTGATTCATTAGATATTCTAAAGCTTGAATTAAGTTCATAGTTATCACTACTTTCATTCATATAATTAGATATATCTTTATTTATAGAACTACTTTTGCTAATATCGCTAATCAATTCTTCATTATCAGTTATAATTATTCCATTGCTTGATGAATAAATTGATAAATCTAAATTAGAATTTTTGCTTTCTTCATTTGATGTTGAGTATATTTCCTTAGAGTTTTTTTGTTCATTATTAAATTGAATTTGTCTTAAAGTATAGTTATTCATTATATCATTTAAAGGTTTAAGTTTATGTTCTAATGATTTTATATGATTTCCATAACCTTGTGAAGTTTTGAATTCTTTTTGCAAATTTTACAAATATGAGCCATTTGTATTTATGAAATAAAAATTTAAAAAATAATATTTTATTTTGTATTAATTATTAAAATTTAGTGATAATTTTTGTGATTTATTATTAAACATGTTTGATATAAATACTGATCTTTAAATTTTTCGTTAACTTTAATCTTTATACTTTTAAAATGAAACACGGCAGAAAAAGAGTAAAAAGAGTATCATCTTCACGAAATAAAAATTTAGCAAATAATACTCAAAATGAAAAATTAAAAACTTATAACAAACAAAGTGATACATCAAATAATAAAACTAGCGAAAATGAACCTTTAGTATAAGAAAACTGTTTAACAGATAATAATAATGAGATGTATGATACACAATTCGACAATTATACTTTTCAAAAAATATTAAACAATAAATTAGGTATACTATATAAAAAAAGAACTATTTTAAAATTAATAACCTATAAACTTTTATTTTTTAAAATTTTAGATGATTTGAATAGCTTTAATTCAAATTATCAATATTCATCTCAACAAGCTACATCCTCATTAAATAAATATTTTTTAAATAATTATAAAGATAACCAATTATTAGAATCTGAAAATGAATCTTCATCTAATGATAGTTCAAAAACATCATATTCTAAAAATTTACAAAACAATATATTTGATTCAACAGCTTCACGATCAATTAATATTAAAAACACAATAACAAGTTCTAATCATATTAAATATAAGTTTTTTAAATTTTAATTGTAACTATTTATTTTAATTAATATAATTTGTAATTATTAGATTCAACTGAAAGTACTCTTAATAAAATATTAGATATTATACTTACTAATCAAACTAATTTAAAAATGCTACTACATTTTTATGGTGAAATAGAATCAATAATTCGTTCACAATCTGAAGAAATTAAAAAAATTAAGGATACATTAAATCACTTACATAAAATAGATGAAACGTCATCTCGAGCTCAATGGGTTGAGGTAAAATTTTCAATTAAATATTATATATATATAAAACTAACTTATAATTAATTAATTAATTTTTTAATAGCCTTACTGGAAATATATAATTAACGATATTTTTCCAGATTTTAAATATCCTGATGATAAAACAATCAAAACTGTAGCACTGCATATTTTAAGTTCTAAACAACCTGAATGTATGCGACTTTTAATAAACAATAGAGAATAGGACTCTTTTTTTAAATTGACAAGTTGTTCTATAGTATTTTATTTTATATTTTTTATTTTGATATTATTTAATCCTTAAATAAATATATAATATATAACTATTTTGCTACTTAATAGACTAAAGACAAGTTATGCAAGCATTATGGAACTATCGTTAAGAAAATTAAAAATAAACTATTTGAAGCATTTCAAGAAAACTTAATAAAATTGTTTCATCAGCTTCTGCCGATGCTATTAAAGCTTTCAAAGAATCAGCAAATACAAGATAGTGTTTACGCAAACTAAATTCACCAATTAGTACTATATCATCTCAAACCTATATGAACTCAATTGTTTCAAAAGTTTGGGCAAAAGATCAACCTACTGAAGATGATAAAGTTTTTGCGATTGCCGTGTGTTTTTACATTCTTGACTCAAAATATGAAGACATGAAATTAGATCCTGAAAAGGTTAATTCCTTGTATTGGTCTCTTAAGGCAAGTTATAAATTATATATAAATAGTTTGATTATTTTAACGTTATATGTTTACAAATACTTAGTGAATATGTAATATTTAGGCTAATGCTAAAAGAAGTTAAATTGCCATAGTTGGTTGTTAAATTAATAAAGCCATTATTAATTTAGACCAAAAAAATTAAGTAAAAGTTGCGAAAAAATGTGCTAATTTGCTAGCTTATAACAAGAAATAAATAATGTTCTTCCCAAATATATAATATTCGTCCTGAATATATATAAAATAGATGCAGTATACATTTATACATTATTATAATGCTGTATATAATTATGTAATAAATTATGCAAATTTACTAGCTTTACATATATGTAAGACTACCGAAGGTCCGTAAAATGTACAAAGTGCTATAAAAAATTACTGTGAACTTACGTAGTTTTTTATATAGTAATTTCATAAAAAAAGTTTGTGATGCTGGCAGCACCTCAATCAAGTGATCGAGAACAAGTTTTTAATTAGTAGAAATTGAACAAATGAATCAAATGAGTTACTATTTCGATGAAAAATCAGCAAGACATAACCTTTTTTCTTTAAAAATTTACTTTTACATTTTGCATATCAAATATAATAAACAATGAATTCTCAACAAATTACTAAGGGTGTGGCGACTTAGAGTAGTGGTTAAGTCGTCACCCCCCAAGCGGCAGGTCTAGAGTTCGAATCCCACTGGAGACGTTTTTAGAAAAATAGGCCTGTGTTCCGGTA